GGCGCACAGGCGACTCCCGCCGAGGAGGAGGGGCAGGGTCGAGATCGGGAGAGTCGTCCCACCTCTGGCGGTGAGTGGGGTGTTGATCATCCTGGATGATCCGCGGGAATGAGAACTATGGAAATGATGTAAGGAAGAAGACGCCGAACATACCTCGAGGGAGATTCTGGAGGGCGGGCGCACAGGAGACCGGTTGCGTGGAGGCGCTGAAGGGAGAAGCGGGTGAAGCGGGTGCTGTGCCGGCTGCGACGCCGCAACACCGCCAAGTGACGTGCCCGGGCGCACAGGTGACTCCCGCCGAGGAGCATGGGCGAGAAGCTCATGTGGCGGCGGTGGATCGGGAGAGTCGTCCAACCTCTGGCGGTGTGGGGGGCGTTGATCATCCTGGATTATCTGCAGGAATGAGAACCTTGGAGATGATGCAAAGAAGAAAACGGCGAACATACCTCAAGGGAAGCAGGGCGGGGCCGAACATTCAGAGGGGGGGCCTGCGGACACCCTTCCAAGCAGGTGTCCGGGCCCGAATAATCCGGCGGTAATAGGCTAGAGTCCTTTAGAGCACGCCAGGGAAAGCAGGCATGCAAACCGGACCCCGGGTCCGGAAGGATGCCGCCTCTAACATGGCCGAAAGTTGGGGCTGCAGAGGCACAGTGAGTTGGAAAAAATACAAGACAGAAGGGGCCCAGACCAATGAATAACAGGGACGGTCCTCCATCTGGATGGGTAAGTCGTGCAGCAAGTTTTTGGAGCTCTCGAATATTGAATTGCGGGCCAGTGACCGAGACAGGGGCCAGGACGCGGATGGCATCAGCGTTTCTGCTATTCTGCGAAGGAGCATACAGCCGCCAGGAAAGCTCGGAGAATCGGACCTGCGATCCAGGATGACTGGGGAAATGGAGGTGATTTTCCAGGGCGTGGGTGCCAAGGTCGTAATTAAGTTGGCGCCAGACCTCCGTTGTTGGTTCTTCGGAGATGCTGAAGAGGAACACGAGACGATGTCCTTCTAGGTGCGTCACAAGCGGCGGGAGAGAGCTCTGAGTGAGGGCGTAGCCACCAAATCGGAATAAGCTGTGTTGGAATTGCTCTTTCTGAATGGTCCCGTAAGAAATGAAAGGGAAGGCGTGAAAGGACGGGGGCAAACCGTGGTGAATGGGAGGATACAGATTTTGAAGTCAACGCTCGCCACCAAAGCCTTGTTCTTGCCGGTCTTTGCCTTCACCTTGCTCTTGGCATGGCTGCCTCGAGGTAGATCGACAGGAGGGCGTCGTGTTTCCGGGTGAAGATGGGCCGCGATGCTGGTGTGTCGTCGCTCCTCGGGCGTGTCGAAGTCGGGGGTAGGAGCACCGAAAGCGGCAAGCGGGTTGCTATGGGCCTCCAATGCGTAGGGCCGAAGAGGAATTGTTGTCAGCGTTGACGGGCGATCAGGCCGATTGGGCACAGGTTGCGCAACACTGTAAGTTGAGGGATCAGAGATGCAAAGAGAGCTTGGGAGACATACCTCTCGTCGCCCTCCCAAAATCCGTGGCCTACCCAAGGACCCGTACAGATACAAATGCTACCTTGGTTCCATTTGCGCTGGGACTTAAGTGGGGTGAGAAACGGCCAGGACCACATAGTATGTCGACGTACACTATAGAAACAAGCACATAAATTCTGGGGCATTGGCCCCTTATGCCACTGCGCATTTCCAGAGGCCACTACATGCTGGTGCTCCTCTGACCTCGGCACATGACTGTGCAAGTAGTGCCCACAGTAGCATGGGTGGCGACTGTCATGGGGGACCTGGGTGCTGGTGAGCAAAGCACGCAAGCCAGCTGAAAAAGCCCTCACCCGTACACCAGTCATGAATTGGGTCCCAGCACATACGCATCCTGCGACAGTGCATTGACCACGAGCAAAGAGAAGGGGGGGGAGCTCAGAGGACATGGTGAATGATGGTGGCGGTAGACAAGAGACAGAGCAACAACGTGTACAAACTGCACAGTTGTAGCGAGTGCCGAGGCCTGCCGGGGTGAGTTCGAAATTCACCATATGCGGAAGGCGGCGTTGACGGGCATCCGGACCAAAAAAACGATCACTGCCAAAACATTAACTTTAATAGAACCCGTGGCAGTGCTGATGATCAATGGCAGGAAACGATGCGCATCAATGATCACGGGTGCTCTTCCATGCGCATGTGCCGCATTGTGCCAATGGATGCCGCGCGAGGGTCCGATCATGCATGATCATCTATGATCATGCATGATCTGACATGATCATCCATGCGCATTGAGGGTGCATGATTTCATTCATAATCATTCCTTGTCGCATCCTCATCGCGTACTACAAAACCTATTTTGTCCCGATCGGACCGCGATAGTTCCAGGGACCATGGAAACCGACGGTCCACTTGGAAAAGTTTATTGATATCATCATTGAGGTCGAAGTCGCCCAGAGCAGCCCAGAGCGTCGCAACTGTATGATGTGATGGTAGAAGGAAGAAATGCGGGCAATGATCGATGACCGCTGTCATTGGAAGGTACGGGCCGCATTGCCGACCGCGTTCGGCCGATCGTGCCGCCACCTTTCCAACCTCAACCCAACTCTGGGCTTTTGCAACTTTGAGAGCTAAATACGGGGAACTCATAGTTCTGTTCCAACAAGCTCGAATATGACTGACCCTGTGCCACAGGAAAAAAGCCTCCAAACAATAAGCCTCCAAAAAATTCTTTAAGTAAACTCTAAACTATCAGAATCTCGTCTGGCAAGATAAATAGTCAATCACGACCGCGGCGCGTTTTAGATTTTAAATGCACCGTGGTGTAGCAAATGATCTCACATATTTGACTGAGTGCGACTGAGAGGCAGGAAGAAGATTAGAAACAACTGGGTACAACCGAACGTCGAGAAGATTGGAATCGAATTACGAGGTCTGATTGCATAGCCAACTCGCTTTTCGACACGGTCTTGTGGGTGATGTGAAAAAACGACGAAGGTGGTTAGTCGTCGAGCCGGGGAAATAAGGGCTCTATGTACGTCGACATAAGTACCGAGCCTGTTCCGAGCGTTCTTTTGTCAATTTCTCTAGAACGATCTGCAAATTGGCAATTTCTGGCTTTAGTTGATGGGCGGACCAACCAACTGCGACATTGTCAGACTCAGACTCACCAGTTTTACGGCACTTACTTGCGACATTGTCGTGAGATGCAGCATAGTTGCGACACTGTCGGCTGCAGGTCGATTGACAGGTTCGGAGATATGGGCTAGAAGGCAGACTATTTCCCCATCTCGGGAAAATTAATTAGTTCCAGGCCGTGAAATGTACGGAGACAATATGGCAAGAGTTAGCGGCAAAAGCGAAGGTTGGTGTGGCAGTGCTGCCCGTTGCCTAACACGATCACGTGGGAGAATCCAGGCTCGCTCGCGTTGACATAATGACAAGCGGTTGGACTGGGGGGAGCTTCAAGGGAAAATGGAAAAGCAGTACAACGTAAAGGAAAAAATTCTAGCCATTGCCAAGGTTTTCAAGTCCGATGCGCCCTCCACTGCATCCGAACAGATCGTATAATGGGACTCGCCATTGGTAAAGTTCGCGTCGAGGTCTATGAGTGGTTTATGTAGTCATGAGTTGGAACCAATACAAAAGGGCTGAAGCACAGCAGTCGGGACAGAGCAGAATTAGGTATTTACGAATGTATAAGCAGGACGTCGATTTATCTGTGTATTTGATGCAAAGTAAACTGAAGTGACAGGTGAGGATCCGAACGGCGATTAAGTATTTCGCTTGTACTACCCCGTGCTTGCAGAAGCAATGTTACCCCGATACCAAAGGAGTCGGAGGTAAGCAGTATCGATGGAATCTGGCTGACGGTCTTGGATTCATCGGGCTTCGCACGCCGGTGCCCGCAGATCTCGAACAGAGATTTCAATTGCTATCATATTGAGTAGCGATTGAAACAGATTATGGCTTGGGGATGCGGCCATGCTCTCGCGACCATGCGTGTTTAACAGTCAAGCACGCTGACCCCGTGTACACGCTGCCCAGAAGTTCATCTGAGACAAAGTTGTAGAGATCATGAGATTCAGATAGACCGGGCGTTGGGAATCTGCGTATGGATAGGCACGTTAAAGTATACAGGAACCTCATTTACCCGGAGTCGAGCGACGCGGAGCAAAAATCCCGCAGCACGCGAATCGCTACAAGTTTCAGGTCATAAATCGCCAGTCCGCGTTTCGCGAAGTCAAGTACGAGTGCGATTGCGGCTGGATAGCCGGGATCTGTGTGGTTGTGTGAGGACACAAGACGGAATCGAATCGAGTAAAGGACGAGAGGGCTTGCATATTGAATAACCCTTGTTCCTTCTTGACCTGTACACCCGAAGTCTCACGCGCGGACGCGGACAGTCACGGGATGGGGGGAAATCAACGGGCGCGGACCGGGGCAAAAACCTAGTCTCTTATAAACAGACGCTACAACAGTTGACGGCTCGTACCTCGCTTGTTGTAGCAAAAACCGCGGAGCGTCACAGTGCTGCGCCCAACTAGCCAACCTACTACAAATTCGAATGAATAGCCGGGCCTTGGGAAGTGGGTAGGAGGGCGATTGTGCGAAGTGGACGTCGAAGTTAGAGCGACTGAGTACGATTGCGGTTGCGGGCCGTGAGTTTACCGTGTCTCCTGGGCGGTATTCCAGGTGGGAGGATGTAATGTACATAGATTGCACTCGGAGGAGTCTGACGAGAGCCGGGGGTGCAAAAGCTTAAACCTGAAGGCGTGAGGTGAGAGGATAAGGTTGGGGCAGATCTGCGCATCAAGCCGTTCGGATGTTTCCGAGTGCTTGCCAGTGGCACGTGCTCTTTGTTCAAAAAACAAATCCTGGTCCAGTCAGGGATTGAAGCAAGCGTGTAAAATTATCCATTATAGTGCTGGATACCCGCGGGGATTATGCTCAGAATGGGGGGCCAAACAAGAAAGGAAATAAACGAAAAGCCGCCCAACAAAAAAAAATTCGGAAAGCTGCATGGCCTGGCCTTGACTCGAACAAGGACCTTCTGCATACCAATCTCTTCTAATAAAATCCAGAGCAGGTGTGTTAATCTTACACCACCAGGCCTTCCCTGTCCTTCACATCCACGAATAATACCTTATTGATTTCGGTTGAAAATGACGCAAAGGAAGACAGAGCTAGATGGCCTGGCACAAGGTACTCCCATCAACATGGTCGAGCCTAATTGATCGACGTGTGCACTTACACCACCGTGACCAGACCGCACTTTTACATTGGAGAAGAATGGGTACTGTACATGTCTACAGGAAACAATTGGGCAGAGAAGAATCAGATTGCTTTTTTGAGTTGTAGTCACGGAGAGTGAACTTTGAAAGAAGAAAGAGCGAAAACATGGTGAGCAGATCGATCCAAGTCCCCTCGCCCGCCACTCGGATCAGGTAAGCCAGTCGGCTCTATGAGAAGTCGAAGTACGAGGGCCGACCAGTCAAAGTCGAACGTGGCCCTGGACAAGGTGGAAGCGGTTGAGTTATGGTTGACTACAAATGTGATTGGGGTGCGATTCATATTTGTATATCCAGCTGAACTGTAGCATTCCGTACTGAGTGTGCGCGATGTGCATATTGTCAGCGGCGGGGGGTGGCGAACTCGAACTCAACTCGCAGATTGAATCCAATCGAACGGAGTCCAGCCAGGGTCAGGGAGGGGGTCAAGGGCTCTCGGTGGGTGAATATTGTTTCACTTGGTGGTGTATCTCCGCCCGAAGATAGGACCCAGTCAGATTCACTAATGCGTGAAAGCGAGAGGCAACTTGGGTTTCCAGGCACTTCCGAACGCAGCACGTGCCCTATGTTCAAAAACCAAATTCAACCAAAGATCGAATCAAGTGTTTTTGCCGTAGCGACGGGTGGACGGCGCAAAAAGGTGAGATGAAAATTAAAAAGAGGATAACAAAGAAAGGGGGGAGGGAGGACAGGCAGATAAAAATGGTATTGTTCCTAGTGATGGCCTAGCCTTGACTCGAACAAGGGACTCCTGCGTACCACAATCATTGGATACAATTAGAGCAGTGTTAACATTACACTACTAGGCCACACCCACTTTCAACACCCCCGGAATATATTGTGTCCCTCGCTGATTCCCGTAGAAAATTATTGTGCACCAAAAAGTACATGACCCAGCCTTGATTCGAACAAGGAACTCCTGCTTCCACTATGTCTCTCTCTTACCCAACGCAGGCGTGTTTGTAACATTACACCACGAAGTCTGCTTCCATGTGGATATACCCCCGGATTTAGACCGGAGATCCAACGCGAAGTGAAGCTCACAATTCCAGCCTTGAATGACAATGACGCACTCCCATTACCAGTTCTCAGATGGCGTTGCATAACTGCGATATTTATGTTCGCATAAAGTGGGAAGGAGTGAATAAAGAAAGAAAAGAAGACACGAGCAACAAAGAAAACGGATTGGGATACATGCATACATCTGGCCCCGAGAGCCGAGCGAAAATCGCGCAGCGCGCATATCGCTACAAGTCCCCGAATACTGTAGATAGCCGGGGTTGGGGGTTCGCGAAGTGGATTCCTAGCCATGGGAAGGCGTGCATTCGTATGTACGATTGCGGGTTGGGCTCGGGGGCGGAGTCCTTCGTTTGCAGCGTTGGCGTTCTCGGCGTTCTCGGCGAGGTTAAAATTCGATTCGAATCTGAGCATACAGGACAGGCGAGGGGGCGTCGAAGATGGTGGATCTGAACTTGAACCTACATCTCATTTAGGACTCGGCGCAAAGAAAGAGAAGGAGGAAGAGGGAGAGGAAGAGGAAGGTTTTGAGACAGACACCCTGGACGATGAGCGCTGCCAGTGAACGCTGAGCGAATGAACAAGTCGGGAAAGGGAAACTCGGCGTCCGATGGCCGGGAAGTCAAGTCAGCGAGGTCCCCAGGCGATTGAGAGGAGGAGGATGATTGATTGAGGATGATTGCGGTTGGGGTTGGATTTGGATCCCCGGGTGGAAGCGTGCGTAGGGTGTGCCTGTTTCGGCGTCGGCGTCGGTGTTACTACTGGGCGTGCTCGTGGCTTACACTAGTACGTGCAGACGAAGCTCCCGCCCAGCGACGTCACATATACACTGCATGCAGTGGAAGGAAAGACTGTTTCTGAGAAAGGCGAGCAAACCTTGTCAGCAGCAAGACGACTTATTTGTCGGCCACGCCCACGGACACGAGATCCGCTCGATACAGTCTCACAGTCGCACTCACAAGTAGGAGCCGCCGGCGCGAAAATCGCGCAGCGCGCATATCGCCACAAGTTCCGCCGGATTCGAAAAGACACCGTGACGATTTAACTTACTTGTTTTGGAGTTAGTGCGCGCATATCGCTACGCGCTGCAAGCCCCCACCCACTCACGGCGTGAGTAGCCGGGGCTTCCGAGTCCGATTCGCGGTGGGCGTCCAGGTGAGTGACGTCGGGGAGTCCGAGTCCGAGTCCGGGATCGTCCAACGCTGGGTGTTGGTTCCGCGAGCGATCCACCGCGGCCGGAGCCCGCTGCGTTGAACTCGTACATGTACATGTATATCAAACCCGGGGTTATGTATTCCAACTTCAACCTTCCAACCTTACTTGAGTTACTCACTTGCTTGCTTACTTACTTGCGAAGTTCGACTCGGACTCGGCGTTGGAATAGGAGTAGTTGGCGTTGGCGTGGGCGTTGGCGTTGGCGCAGGGTGCCGTTCGATTTGGTGGGATTTTAAACGCGTGTCGCAGGTGCCATCGTCGGAATGAAACTTGCAGAGAAGGGAAGGGAAGGGGGGGATCACAGCTGCTGCAAGCAGGGAAGAGATAAAGACATCATGGAGAAGTTTGAGCTTAGTAAGTATGAGTACTGGTGCTTGCAAGGCGAAAATCGCAGGCGCCGACTTGTTTTGGTGTGCGTATATCGCTACACCCCCATTGCTCGCGTAAGTCGCCGGGCTTCGGAATCCGAATCCGACTCGCGGTCAGCGTCCACAGTCACGGTGATAACTTGAGGATAGATGTAGATTTACAGAGAGACTTAGCGTACGTGTACTGTGGAGTGAGGGCGTTGGCGTTGGTTGGTTGGTTGGGTGTGATTTTCCGTGTCGCGAGCGACTCGGAGTCCACGGAATGAGAGCCGGTGCCATCGGCGGAATAGAATTTGGAGGGAGGGGAGGGGAGATGACAGCTGCAGCATGCCAGCATGCCAGCAAGCAAGCAAGGAGCAGGGAAGCAAGCAGGGTTGAAGAAAGAAAATAAAAGAAAGAAGAGGCACCGTCCACCCCAGGGTAGAGAACGTTGTCGCTGCGAGGCGAGTCGGAGTAGCCTGCCTAGCTAGCCTTCCGGAACTTGGGGTATACGTAAAGCTTAACTTTGGTTGAAAGGAAGAAGGAAGAAGGAAAAGCTAGAGCCAGTGGCAGTGGCGGTGCGACTCGGGGGCGAGCGGAAGAACGTGGTGTGGTTGAGCGCTGAGCCTTGCGAGTGCGAGTGCTGAAGTTGAAGTTGAACTTGCGGCGGCTGTACTAGCGCGGCAAGCCCGTTGAACTCGACAGTAATGCATACATGTACTGCGGCCCCATTCCCGGACCTCCATCCCCATGCCTTGATCATTCCCAGTGGCATTTGGGAGGCTACTGTACAGCGATCGGGGCGGCGCTGCCGGAGCGGGGATCCGCGCGCGTCCGTAGACGAGATGAAGCAAGAGATGAAGTAATTAATTTCACGTATAGGTTGAGGTTGAAGTCGGTCGGTCGGTGGGACCTGGGTGCATGGGTATCAAGTTGCAGGGTCAGGCGGAGCGCGCGTGCACGAGAATACATGTAAAATCAGAGCAAGAGTTGTCGAAGAAGCTCGAGAAACAGACAGCGAGACTGGAATGCGGGTGCCACTGAGATCATCGGCGCGTCATTGCATGATTGTCGCGTCGGACGCGGGCGGCCACGCGGAATGCGACGCTCTCTCCAACTCACTCGCAGTGCGTTGGACTTGCATAGAGGTTGCTACGGTAACAGGGGCTCTCGAGGAAAGGGGCGCAATTTGAATATTTGCAAATGGCCATGCACGGAAAAGGAAGGAAAAGAAGCAAGGGCGGTGATGGCCGGGCAGTGCCACCGCGAGGACTCGTACGACCTGGAACCTTCTCGTTTGTCGCCCAAAAAGGACAAGGGTAAAAGCGAGGAGACGAGAATAAAAAAAGAGGACAGGACGTGGAGAAAGGAAGACAGCAGCAGCGTCACCGCTGACGCAGCATCCCGGTGTACATACGTATGATATGCGCCCCAAAAAAACAGTTTTAAATGGCAGGGGAATGGGGATTGCGGTGATGGATTCCGATGATGGGTGATGGTCGCTGTCCGTGTCACGGCGGAGGGTGTCACGCAATAACCCCGGATCGCGAAAGTAGCAAATAGACAGACAGACAGAGTAAGCACGGGGTCGAAAAAAGTCTCACCTCACCTTGCCTTACCTTTACCCCGTCATCCCGTCGACGCGGACCCAGAACCACTAGCAGACGAAGAAAGTAGCGAACAGATCGCGCCGGCGACTTGACTTTCAAGCTGGTTTGAATTGGAGATCTGCTACTCTACAGCCTCGTGTGCCCCACGCCTTTACGAGCCCCTTCCCCGCATCACAGGCCCGAGGGAATACCATACCACTTGACACGGACCTCCGATGGACGTCGACGGGGGTCAACATTTAGTTGAAGCAGGAGTTCGACGGTCCCGTGAGCCCCTTTTCATTGCGCGCGCGTTCGGGTCCTCGTACCTCCGCGAAAAAGGAGTATTGGATTCAGTGTGCTGACCAGTGTACACTACAGGCACCCCGGACCCGCCTGGCTTGAGCGATACCGACACGCCGAGCCCGCACGCGCGCGCAAGGAGGCGGCACCAGCACAGACACACGCAGAGCCTCGGCCTGCTGTCGCCCATCCCCAGCCGCGGCAGTCTGCGCGAGGACGCGCGGGCGGCGCAGGAGCAGGAGGACGTCGCGTGTCTGACGCCCCACTCGCAGTCGCGATCGCCACATTCAACAGGTATAGACTCGCCCCACCCACACTCACCCCACACACCTGCTCGTACACCCACCAGTACGAGCACGACACCGAAGAGCAAGAGCAAGACGGCGACGCCTAATAGTAACACTAACAGCAGCGGGCACGGGCCCGGGCACCGCAAACGCGGCTCCCTACAGCTCCCCCCGCTCCCCGCCCTCCTCGCCAACCTCGGCATCGGCATCGGCGCGCTCTTCCCTTCCTCATCGTCTTCTTCTACTTCCACGACTACGGCGACGACGACGATGCACCCCCCGTCCCCGTCCGCCACCGCGAGCCGCATCCCCCTGCCCCCCTCGCGCCCGCACACCCCCGTCCCCGGCCCCGGCCCCTCGCGCTCGGAGATGCTCCTGCGCGACGCCCTCCGGCGGGGCTCCCATTCCTCTTCCTCGTCACCGGCGGCGTCCTCGTCGCCCCGCGTGCCCCCCGCGCAGCACCTCCCTCCTACCGCTGCTGGCGGAATGGGAATGGCGTACGGCGGGGACGCGGAGGGCGGCTCCCTTGCCCACCCCCTTGCCCACTCCCATTCGCACTCGCACTCTACAACGTTGCAGCACCCCAGCCCAATCGCGCTCACGCTCTCCCGGCTCGAAGGGCGCGCCCCTTCCCCTTCCCCTTCGACACCTAAGCGGGAGAGAGAGGAAAGGGACCCAGAACACGAGGCGCTGCGCGCACGGCTCGAGCGCATGCTTGCTGCTTCAGCTTCCGCCTCGGCTTCGGCTTCAACGGCGTCGAGTCCGCGCACGTCATTAGGATCACGGCGGGCCTCACGCCAGGCGTCCTCTCCCTCTGCAGAGCGCGCGCAGCAGCAGCAGGAGACGCAGACGCAGCAGCAAGAGTGGCGCGAGCGCGAGCGCGCGGAGCGGGCGACGACGCCAAGGCCTTTGCCCCTGTCCTCCGGTTCCGAGAATGTCAATGGTAATGGGGGCGGCGGTGGAGGTGGGGAAAGGACGCCGCGGAGCCCGCGCACGCCGATGCGCGAGCGCGAGCGTGAGAGGGGGGACGAGAACGAGGTGCGTTTGTTTCTTTTTCTCTCTCTTTTTCTTTCTTTGCTTGCTTTCTCTGGGGAGAGAGGGGCGTCTTGTCTTGTTGGGGGCGAAGAGGGAGGGCGGGGCGGGGTTTCCTTTTCCTTTTCCCTTTTTTCTTTTTCGGGGGGGGGGGGGGGAGGCGAAGAGCGCGTACTACGTTTCTCGGTTCTCG